AAACGTAATATAAGGATATGTTATCGTCGTCTGTATTGTCACCTCAGTTATTAATCAATTACGGATGGCAAGCTCGTGTGGTACTTGAATTTTATCGTAGTGATTGTTTTAGTCCTGGTTATTGTTTGAATACATCCGTGCCCTTAGGTGCTTATGATCCTGTTCGAGGGTATCTTAATACTTATTTTAAGGGATTGATGGGCCGTTGTATTAGTCCGCGTAATACGGATCCTGAGGGTTATTGTAAGACCGTTGAAATTCCTACCAAGTATCATCGGGATAAGAAGCGTTTACCACAGGAAAAGGCAGACTTGTTGACGAACTATAATGATGATGAAACGGATGGTTATTGTCCACTACAAGGAAATACCTATGCGGTTCATAAAATAGATGCTGAATTGAGTTTAGATGGTAATGAGGAAGCTAGTGATGATGATGATGGATTATCCTCAGTAGATGCTAATAAAGGATGGAATTGGGGTAAGGATGGTGGTAGTGGTGTTGGTATAGTAGACGAGCCAGATGATGATGGGTTTAAGGAGAAGAAAAAGTGAGGAGGTGTTTTTGAAGGGTTAAAAGACATTTATCGTAAATTTATAGACGAATTCGAAACTATACGGTCTCGTTACAATGAAGTTGTCGAAAAGTGAATGACGTTTTTAAAGAATATCAACAGCAGTATCAAATCGATATTGAAAATATTTTAGGTGCGATTAAAATTCATGAAGGCGAAACTCAATTATTGGATAATGATTACAAAGCTGAAGAATTAAAATTGATTGGAGATGTCCGGAAACAAATTCGGGAAGATGTTGCTGAACGGAAATTGATGGTATATGCATTGGATAATCACCACAACAAGAAAACAGATGGGTGGAAGCTGATACTTGTTGTGGATAGGATTGGGGCCGAGAACCCACCCGTTTCGTTAATTGCGTGGATGTTTGGTTCGGATTTGCAGCATAAAATAATAGATATTATATATGAGTCTGGGATGTCTGATAAAACTCGTGAATTAGATCTTTGTCAGCCTTATTGTGGTAAGTGAAATTCATGATGAAATAAAATCATTCCCATTCTCTCGAAACACCTCACCCTAACCCTTGCCCTAGCCGGTTAAATCCCCCAGCACCCTCACGCTTAAAAGCATTGTCCACCCCACGCCTTTAGAACCCTTTGAATCTATTAATCTCTTCAGGTAGCAAATCTCCCAACATCAGGATTTAAAATGCTGGAGAATTAGAGCCTGAATTCCATATTCCATACGTCTCGGGTTTTTTAAATCTCCACCCATACACACCGTAGGACAATTTCAAATTAAAAGATGAGCAGTTTCACCGAATAAACATGCACATTACCCCAACTTCACCTGCTCTCCATAGACACACATCAGGTATAATCACATCCTAATAGTCGTTAAGAAATGCTCTTGACAGAGAAGCGCAGCGGGCTTTGGGTAGGCGGGATGACGGGGTTCGGCTAAAAGATCGTATTCCCCATAGCGGATGTTGCCACATTGTATGAGATCTTCGTGACCACATTGTTGTCATTTATTTAAGGTCCTGCTCACTAAAATTAGAGATTTCGGTGGATTGTTCCGTAAGCATATTGGAAAACCCTTTATCATGAAGCACCGCAAACGATATATTCACCACGTTTGCCGATTGGCCCATATATTGACGCACTGCGCTTACCTATTGAAACCAATCAGTCGGTATATGGAATAAAAAGTTCTTGGACACCTATTTCATACGCCTAGAAAAAAATTTTGATTTAGCTTAAAACAAACTCAGAATCGACAAAGAGAGGCACTAATACGGAACCATCGCGTTAACAGGATCAACCCCCTCCCCATTCCATTCAAGGGATCCAAACAGAAGCCATAAGCGGATAAATGTGCCGTATTAAAATAGATGATGGCGAAGTCATGTGATTTAGTTAGATTTATAAAATATTAATATGGACGCCTCGCCACCTGCGTGTCTGTAATAACGAAAAATAATGATCTTTTGAGCCAGTAATTCATTTATAATTTGTCCGTACGTGTGAAATGAAATGGGTGTGTCTAGTGTGTATAAATAGGACACTTATTATATTAATTTCGTTTCACAGTTCTCGAATCCATATAAAATAAATATATAGTATTAAAAAAAGAACCCGAATGATAAAGGGGAAAAGACTCTATTTTATTCAAAAATATGGTAAAGAAAAAAAGTTGGAACTTTTTCAGTTTAAGAGCTCATGACATGTGCGAGGCCGCTTGCTACTGCTCATTAAGAAAAATTAATAAAAGAGGGACATGTATACAGTGTTGATATATTTAGACAAGTCCCCTAGGTGACCGAGGCTAGTTCCATATGTTGCCCATCGAATACACCTGAATGTTGGCTTTGACATGAGCATCACCCGTGTTGCGGGTGTAGAATCCAACACCGCTGTGACCGACTTCATCGGGGATGTACACACGCCCTGTGATGATTTGCAGACCGTCGTCTTTATACACCTCAATGATACTGCCATCAATAAAGATACGCAGCTCAAACTCGGTGCTCGATGCCAACGGCGCACGACCGTGGTGTGGAAAGTTGAAGCCCATGGTACCCGATTTATGACGCTCGAGATATAAAATCGGCTCATTGACGACACCGCTGGACACAACCTTATCCGGGGTGGGCACCTTCGAACTGTGGTTCCAGTACAGCGAGCACTGCACCATGTCCGGGGTTTCGATCTCATGCAATGCCCACAACATACAGGTGCGCTCCTTTACACATTCCTTACTGCAGTCCATCTCGGCTTCCTGGTCATTCTTGATGGAGCGAGTCTTGAAGAGTGTGCTATCGACTCCCTGGGGGGTGCATTCATCGCAGAAGTTTGCATCGGGATCAGCCGCCGGCATCCTCAGTGCCACATGGATGTATTCCGATTCATCGGCGTTAGTGCGAATGCGTAAGCCCACCTCAGGGGCGTTTTCCTTGGTGTATCCCTTCGTTTCATCAAAAAGGGTATCGGGAAAAGTGAACTTTGCAATAATCTCCTGATACATCGTCCCGGCCTCAGAAGGAGTCAGAACAGTACTGGTAGCGCCAGACGAAAGCGTCAGAGTCATGTCGAGGAGGCGCGCCTTGCGCAGAGCTTCCAATTGTGGAATCGGTGGAAACTTGAGACGCTTCTGCTTCTCATCATAGGCGATGCTACGTAGAATTTGCACCCCAGCCCATCCATGATCCTTCAGATACAGCCCTTGCTCCATCTCCTCGGGAATATAGCCCCAGATCAGGCGCTGCTTCAGGATTGGGTCATAGAAGGTCTTGGACGCAAAGTAAGGCCCATAGTCCGTGAACGTGTTGGTGCGGTCAGTGTCCTCAACATAAACGTACTGATCTATCGCTTCGTCCAGCTGGTACTTGCCGTACACGACGAATTCACGCCGCGCTTTCATGGTGGAAAGCTTCAGAAAGTACCCATTAGTGCTGTCCACCGTAAATAAATCAGGGCACTCCAATATGGGTTCAAGGTAGAACTTGTAAAGACTGTGCGAAAACTTGAATCCGCTCTGTAACGTGGGGTCTGTGGTGCGGAAGAGGGCCACATGCGTACCGTCACCATCATCATCCTTAATGCGTGCAACAAGTCCAAAGAGCCATTCATTGGGATGCGCCGGATCAGGCCACACCTCGGTTGGGTCACGAAGATTGTTGAGGTAAACCAGCCCGGGAACGTCCTTTTTGCTTAAGACAGGGTTGAGCGGGCTCTTCTCTAAGACATCCAGCGTGCGTTTGCCCTCAAGATCCGCTTTGGGCGGGTTCGCAATACACACACGTTGGATGTCGTACCGGTCTTGAGCAATATCCTCCTCACTCGCCAACTGGGTGCAAGTATATATGACAACGGGGTCGCCAAATTGGTTGTTCATCATCGCGCCCGAGAACACGCCACGTAAGTCGTACCAGTGGTCATTAGTCATGGATATGATTTCACGGCGCTCCCACTTGATGTAGTCATCCGAGGTTACATGATACCACGACATATCACCCCAAACGGCCCCGTGGGGATTGTACTGCATGTACAAGTGGATCTTGCCTGTGACAGAGTCTCGATAGGGGCCATTAGGGTCACTGGAAAAGTGCTGAGGGGTATAAATATGGTAAATGGGATCACATGGAGACGTGTCAGCTTGGGAGAGTGTACTGAACAGTACAATTAAAATTAAGATGGATGTATATAAATTCATTGCGTATTTTTTTTCGTTAACGGTATTATGCTCTTTCTTTAATGGGGAGAGAGAAATAGAAAAATGCACTACTGATATAGTCAATTTTGTTTTATTCTCGCCAAAACAAAAAAAAGAAGCGAATGGTAAGCGCTGCCTACCTATCCGGAATCTAAACATGAATTTCTCGAATAAAGCAATGATAAAGTCAACCCATACAGGCATACAAGTTTAGGGAAAATGGGAAAAACTGAATTTAAATCGCCAATTTAACGCAACAAGTAAAACAACAAACAATGAAGCACACTTTGTGCAACTAGATGCACTGTTTCCTTCAGCGGCCCCTTGTGTGTCGCTTAGCTTATGAAAAAGGCATACTCATTTCTTTCAGAATATCTTCACATCATTAGAATCAAGACTTTAATCGCACCTGTCGCTGGATTTCTCTCGCCTGGTGTCGCATGTGGCTACATTTCTCAAAAAAGTCCTAAACAGAGTTTTCCCTAGAGAAATGTGGGACACGGGGACGAGGATTAAACCCAAGAACTAATCCCGGAGGGGGTGGTAGAGAGACACACCGCGCAGGTTAAGTCCAAGTTTAAGGTTCTGGAACTGGATAAGGTTAAAGTACCGCTTCGGGTTGTGGTAATGGTTTTGGGTCCAGCTTTTGGTCTAACCCTGACCTTGGTCCCGAATTTTTATGAAACAGTATATATACGGCAGGGTTGGATGTAAAAGTACAACACTAGCACATAGAAAGGTTGACATATAATGGTTTCGATTCAATAATAAATACCAATATAAAGTAAAAATATAAATAGAATTTGTTTATGAAAAAAAAAGACTACACATACCATTATAACAAATAGTTACATACAACATCTAGTTAAATACGACAGGGATTAGTCTAACATCGGCGTTTATAAATGAAAAAAACTCTTTTTCCTTTTAAAATTGTGATAATGGTAGAGTCGTAAAGTCAAATTACTTAAAATAACTATATATATATATATGGCTACCGATATGATAAAGAGAGAGCAATCCGCATACGCATACATATTATGAAATACGGAAAAAAGCACCTTGAGGAAGGAAAGTGAATGCATCCAGATTGGTTTGCTTCATTGGGCCTCATTC